GGCCTCCCCAGCGCAGGACGGCTGAGCCCGGCCACCCCAGGGGAACCATTTTAGGCTCTGGTGACAGAGGCATCAGCAAACACTGCTATAAATAGCGGTGTCAAAGGAACGAGATGGTCGGGCTGTTCAAATCCTGGCACAGACCCACTAAGGCTGATATCAAGTGCCCTTTGCTTGTTCTCTTGCCGCCAGGTCCTCTTATCTATCCTTCCAACTCGGGGTGTTTCTGTCACCCTGTCACCAGGTCCCCTGCCCTGACATTTTAGCCTCCTGGGATGGCTACAGGATCCTACTCGCGTTTGTCAGCTGCTGTTCTGCACTCCAGAAAGGACAAAAAGCTAAATGCGCTGCAGGGACGAGGTGGAGTCCTCACCCGTGCAGCCTGGGTCCCCTCACAGCCGGCCCCGTGGGGTTGTTGGGACAGCCCTGTATTTGCACAGCCCCTGCGTGCTGGGACCTGCTGCTGAGCACGCAGGCAGCACTGCCGAGATACGGGGTCACCGCACCACGCTGCTTTTGGCTGGGATCGAGTTCGTTGTCTTCACAGAACCTGGTGTGGGGCTACGGCCTGGGTTTGTGCTGAAAGCAGCGTGGCTAATTCAGGGACGTGTTCATCCTTGCTGAGCAGAGCTTACACAGAGTCTAGGCCCCTTCTGCCTCTCACCCCACCCAGTAGGGAACGGGCCCGGGGTGCACACGGAGTTGGGAGGGGATGCAGCTGGGCCAGCTGAGCCCAACGGGGCATTCCAGACCATATGACATCACGCTCACCACAACAAACCAGGGAAGGAGGAGGAAGGGGGAAGCGTTTGGAGTGATGTCGCTTCTCTTGCCAAGTAACTGTTATGCGTATGGAGCCCTGGAGATGGCTGAACACCTGCCTGCCGATGGGAAGGGGTGAGCGAGCTCCTTATTTTGCTTTGCATGTGTGGCATTTGCTTTACCCATTACATTGTCTTTATCCCAGCCCACGAGTTTTCTCACTTCTACTCTCCGATTCTCGCCCCCATCCCAGCAGGGGCAGGAGGGAGGGACCGAGCAGCTGCCTGGTGCATTGTTGCTGGCTGAGGTTAAACCACGGCAGGCACTTGAGAGCACTCCTGGATTTCTGCTGTTCTTCTGCAGGGAGCTGGCGTCATCCTCCGGACCCAACACTACCTCTGAATCATTCTGATCTCGGTCACAGCGATGGGGAAACTGAGGCAGGGAGGTGTCATGACCTACCCTATGTACATGAGGGCAGGGAGGTGTCATGACCTACCCTATGTACATGAGGACCAGGAAAGCAGTCCACACTCTGCCCTCTGATGACCTCGGTGTCATCAGGGGTGTCACAGCATGAAATCCCACAAGTTCGTGGCATTAATTCCTGGATTTGCCATGAAAAGCAATTCTTGCTATTCAAAGGCCATGATTACCTTGTAAACATCTGCGCTGACAGCAGCTGAGTGGCAGCACAATTCTCCATCAGCTCTGCCTCCGCTTTCTCCTCCTCCACATTCTTTATTTTAAAGCACGCTCATGGCAAAGCCCTTCGGTGCCTGATGAAGGAAAAAGCTTAGAAAACAAGCAACAGAACCAAAACTTCAGGCTTGCAGCAAACAAACGACAAGACATCACAGACCCAAGTGTACAAACCTCCCCTTTCCCTCCCTGTGTGGCCTTGGCCAACATCTCTCCGTGACCCGTTGGCTCCTGGGCCCCAGTGCCAACGCGGGTCCCCAAGAGGGAGTCAAGGGCTTGGTCTTTGCACGAAGATCAGAGCAGCCCTTAGCTTCGGCACAGATACGCTGACCCCCAGGTGCTGGGTGGACCCACCTGGACTTTCACTGGTGGAACATGGGTTTATCAGTGCTGGAATTTGATTTTTCCTGCAGGTATCTGGTCGAAGAACATGCAGGATTGGGGATGGGCATGGGTAAGGCATTCCAGCAAGTAAGGCTGCACAAAAACACTCTCTGCTGAGAGTCAGCCATCCCTTAAACCACCACCCACAGCAGAGACGCTGCCCTGGGGCCTACGGACATTCCTCAGCTATATTTGGTGACGGAGAGCGAATTTGTTGTTTCCCCTTAACCCAGCTGTTCTCCTTACTGGCGGGGAGGAGCTAATGCCAGAACCGAGGTGTCGCTGGTCAGATAACCCCGGTGCTTCGGCAGCAATACATCTCCTCTAAAACGCTTTTGCTGCCTCCCACCTGCTGCCTGGGAGAAGATCAAGTTGACAAGAGTCTCCTGCCAACTTGTATTTTTACCCAGGACTTCATCACGAGCCCCGGCTACGGAAGAGCCTGTTCACGAAGCAGAGGGAGGAAGCTGTGTCACGGCAGATCTCGCAGCTCTGGAATCCCACCTCACCCAGAGGTCTCCAGTTCCCAGGGAGCTGCTTTTATCCCATATTCTGAATCCCCTGAAATCCCAAAAGGCCCTTTCCCTTCTTGTCACCCCCACCCCTTCACCATAAAACCTGGGAGGTCCCCAGCAGGGACCCCAGACTCCCCTTCTGAGAAGGTCTGAGCGCGCTGGGCTGGGACCAACGGAGTTTATTGCAGAACAACACCCAGAGGGATCGCGGTAACACGGCAGCCCAGTCCCAGGAACAACCGCCGGAGGACAACGAAATGAAGCAAAACCACAGCAACACCACACAGCAGGAAAATCCAGTCGTTGGCCCCCGCAGCCCAAGAGGCACGATCACACTGGCCCATCAGGGTGGGAGACGTGCCCAGCCCGTGCGGCCGGCCCTGGGGACCACATTGCTCTCCCAGTCCGAGGGGGACGTCACGGGTGGGCACGCAAGGAAAGTACACAGCAGCAAATCCACGTCTGCCACTTGTAGTGATGGAGGGAAAGAAAAGAAACGTAGGAAGCCAGGTGGATAAAAGCCAACAGGCAGCCATTGCAGGAATGGAATCCACCCCCCCCGGAAGGATGCTGGAGGTGCAC